AGATAGATCAAATTTCTAGATAGGACTTCATTGTCCGATATAAAGAAAAGAAAGAAGGGATTCAAGGCAGAGGCTTTTCAACGTACATCTCCCTTGATGTGAAGGCTATTTATAACAATCTTTGCAGTTCCGAAGAACGGCTTGGCCACCTTGGCAAGCAACATGATGCTGAGGTCACTCGTGTCCCAATCAAAACCCAAGTGCATAACTCGCTGTTGAAATGAATAGATGCTTTGTGAGGATCTTAAGTATATTTCACTGATTAGACAACAGAAAATAAACCATTAGACAAAGGCCATACTATTACAAGAAAGAAATAAAAAATTAAGAAATGCCAAGCCGAAATATTTCCTTGTCCTTCTGTACAAGCTTGGATAAACAGAGTGCAAACCTTTTACTTTTATCAAAAGACAATAGTCACCCTTTAAAATTTTCTTTTAGTCATGAACCATGGTTGAATTAGCAATCTTCACTACCTCATTGGAGTAACTCGTATCCGTTATCAATGCAGAACTGATGTGTGGTCCAAGCAAACAAAAGGAAAGGACTCATGACCTCCTTCCAATGATGAACAATTATAGGTAACCTAGGTTACAAGAAAACAGATAACTATTTGGCCCTCTATACTGTCATGGAACTATTTGGCCCTCCTTATAGTTTTACCGGCGATTGACATAAAAGAAAAAATAAACGCTGATTGTCATAATCTTAGCCTCGAGAAACTAAGGAAAATGAACTTTGATTATAAGTTGTCATGAAAGACCCAGAAGGCCAGAATCCAAACCTGATCACCAAAAGTTGACCAGCGAGTCCCGTGAAGACCCAACCCGGGGGGAGATGAACCTAGTGAAAACTCCAGCAATTCTACTCTTTCCTACATGAATAATAGTCTCATCAGTGAACATGTTTCTAAAGATTAACATCAATCAAAAGTCTCCAACTGTAAATTTGAACTTTTTTCTTGAGAACTAAATGTAAATCATATCACTTACAATAAGTCTTGATTTGTGATGTTTCAAACGTTTCTGCATGCAAGAAGATTCACTTAGTCAGATAATTAATAAATAAGAAACATCAATAGACGAACATTCAATTTGTCTATCGATAGGGCCATTGACAGCTAAGGTTTGAATGCAAACTTAAGATTTTCCCTAAGTTCTTATAAGCAAACATATATTTACATAGTCCTTGGTGTGTCTTCAGAGCATGCAATGCACGGTCTAGAAGAAATTGTCCTTCAAAGCTTCCACAAGTTTTCAACTAGATATAAATGATTAAAACTGGAACTTGTAATAAGACTAAATAAATGAAGTTTTCACTAAGAACCCACACTTCTCACCTCAACAATGGATTGAAACCTAAATGAAAGCTTTGGGTTCATGTAGTCGGACCAAATCTCCATTAAAAGCTTGTTCAGCCACTCACAGTGCTCCAATGGTGTTATTTTCTGTTTAAAAGTGCCAAATGATTGATCATGATAAAACTCACATATCTTAGAAATAGAAAATCAAAGAAAGTGTAACTACCGAGTTAATTAGTGTAACTTGCTTCCACTTCTTATTCAAGTCTTCAATAGCTATTCGATGTTGATAATTACCATACTGCAATGGAAGAGAAATACCTTAATGTCATCGTAATAAAATTTTAAATATTAATGGCCACAAAACCCTCAGCCGATAGACAAGGGGTAAAATTATTTTCTTTCAAGCATTTTGATATTACAAAATAGTTTTGTAATAGAAAATCAAGTTATTCTTATCAAATCAAGTCCAAACTCCAAAGTGAAGAAAAGAACAGAAAAACATGACAAGAATGAACCTCGACAACATCACCTACGAATCCAATTCCCGACACGAGGTCTACACCTTGGATAGAAAAATACTAATGAAAAGAGAATGGTTAAACAGCTATCCTGATGAAGAGGGAAAACATCAATTGGAACTACATAGTCATCCTAAATCTTTTAATGCAAGCTAGCTGAATCTCCAAGACCCTATTAGCTACAAGGGTTATGCCTTGCTAGCTCAAAAATCGAGCCAAACCAGTTTCCCTTTCAACAATAAGCTTCATCTGTACTCTTGTCTCAAAGTAACAAATGAAGCAATAGCAATTGTGGAGTATCAAGAATCATATGTTACTTAAAACAAGACGCCGATATTGAGCCAAATCGAAAGTGATTATCTGAACACGGAAAGCAAAAATGCCAGCAGGTCATATGAACAGAAGCAAGTCACAGGGGGGAACTTACAATCCAACAGAATCACCTGATCAACTGAATCTGTACATGTTTTATCAAAAAAACGAATTCTAATAACATAAAACTATCCTCTCACTGCATTAGAGTGGCAGATAGAAAATCTATAATGAGAAAGAAAATCCATTTGTGTACATTAAAGCTGTTCCATATCCAATATCCATTAGCATAAAACACATCGAAAAGAAAGGAACTTGCCTGGATGGTTGCCCAGACAGCAAGAAGAAGAGGCACCCAATTGGACAAGGAGAAAATCCATCTCTCCAAAGCCCAGAATATCAAAATCAAAGGGATCAAAAAGAGGAGATAAGGCTTCTTCTCCAACATGACATTGTTGAAAAAGTCCACAACTCCATCAACATTCAAAAAGCTTCTTTTTCCTCTTCCACCCATTTCAGCTAACACCAACAAGATCAAATCTTTTCTCACAACAACAACAACAACAAACTGTAATTTCTCTTAGAGTCTCGACTCAAGCTCACAAATATGAAATATCCATACTTTTTCAACATTTCACCGCCATAGAAAAGGAGCCAAAAGGACAAAGAAAGGGTTATAAGAATAATAATATTCAGATGTCTAGAATCATACTGGAAAAATCATAAACTAAAGCCAAAGAATTAAGGGCTAGAGAGGGAGAGAAAAAGTCAAAGTCGGTCTAAATGCTAAGAGAACTGTAGTGACTAAACTATGAATAATATTGTTGTCTTTCTTTGTTGGGTTATTAATAATAAGGTAAATTATACGGATGGTATCTATGTTTAAGGTTCAAAGTGTTACCCATTTTGATCATTAATTTAAAATTTAAGAGGAAATGATCGTTATAAAAATATAAAGTACGCCCTTTCATCACTTAACTTTGATTGTGTTCTTACTTTAGTTAATAAACTTTTTAAAATTTTCAATGTAATCATTTAATTTTGACATTATTATATTTTGTCATTCGAGCATTAAATCATAAATAAGAGAATAATGTAGCTTGTTTTTTACTGGCATGAAAACCACTTGTTATCCACCTCATTTTTTATTTCATCATCTTTTTACCAATTTTAAATCTTTAGGTTTTATTCCTATGTCATACTATTTCCAAAATTATCATTACTTGACGTATTCTTCGATTATTTTTAAAATCTTAAAATTTTTATAAAAAAATAAAAAAATTAATTTTCAAAATATCAGTTAAAATTTAAACATTTTTTATCTAATCAAATGATAGTTTTTACTTAAAAACATTTTCAAAAAGTTAACCTTTGTTTAAACACCATATCCCAGTTTGCTTCCTCTTTATTTTTAAGATTAATTTGAGTGTTAATTTTACATTTTTGAGATCCACATTTCTTGAGTTATGTGAAATCAATCACCACTTTTACGTAAAACAACTAATTATGTGCATTAAAAGAAGAAAAGCACAAGGACAACCATGTACTTACATTGTAAATGTCACCGGACATGAATAGACTTGGGTTGACTAGGGTTGGATTGATCCGATTTGAAAAAAATACATTTTTCGTTCGAAATATATAAGATATAATTATTCTATTTTTCGGATCGAGTTCGGTATTTTTAACATAAACTTAAACTCGACCCGATCCGAACATATATTATAAAAAACCTAAATCTACCCGAATTTTTTATACCCGAATTTTTTATACTCGATCTAATAATATTGGATTGAGTCAAAGCCGGTCAAGTTTGGGTTCGTGTCCATCCCTCTATACAGATCAGAATATCCAAAACCCGGCCCAATAAGGTCCAAACTGAATCATAACCGTCGCGTGTATTTGGAAATCATTGTCAACACTATAAAGCTCAAATCGGAGGAAACACTAGCTCCTCACTAATCTGCTGAAAGGAGGAGCTTGCAACCTTTCACAGTCCGTCGTCACTTCCATCTGCTGCACTTTCTCAGGTGAAACTTCTGGTTTTCTTATCACTTGTTTGGTTGCCTAGAAAATGAATGGAAAACAAAGAGAATGCAGACGTTTCGCTTGCTCCGTTTTTTTTTTACTTCTAGTTTTTGTTTATATTCAGTTTTCTCTGATATGCTAATTTCTGTAGTCTGTTTTGGTGAATGTACTTGAGAGGTGGCTGTTGGCTTAAAACTGATATATACATGTGTGTGTGTGTTTACTACCTTTTTTTTCTTGTTTATTCAAGAATTGTTGCCAAATGAGTGTAAAAACATTTCTAGTTGAAGCATATACATATATTATTTGCTTTCGTTTGACACAGCATGAAATTCTAATCTTACCGTAAAACTTGTAAATTGTTCGCTTGTTATTGAATCTTGAAATTGTATAATTGTTCTACACATCTTAAATTGAACCTTTAAAATTTGTTCATGGATAGTTGAATACTTGATCCTATTTCTAATTCGTCTGATTTTTTTTTACTTTTCCCTTTTCTTTCAAAATTCTTTTTCAACTTTTTTTATTTTCTTCTCACAATGCAGGTATTAAAGATGTATACTTCGAGGAAGAAGATCCACAAAGATAAAGATGTCGAGCCAACGGAGTTTAAGGAGTCAGTTGCCCAGGTTCTAAACTGCTCTTATGTTTGCTGCACTTGAAATGTTCCTGAAAATGTGTTGTTCTGTGAATGATTTAAGAAGGTGTGTTGGATTGTTTGTTATAGGCTTTCTTTGATTTGGAGAATACCAACAACGATCTAAAAAGCGACCTCAAAGATCTCTACATTAATTTGGCAGTGTAAGAATGATCAATTATGGTCCATTAAATGTGAAGTTATGTTTGTAAATTGCCCATCGTATGATAGCTGTAACATTTTTTCCACTTGCAGTCAGATTGATGTATCTGGTAGCCGGAAATCTGTTGTTATCCATGTTCCTTACATATTGAGGAAAGCTTTTCGTAAGGTTCATGTTAAGCTTGTGAGGGAGCTTGAAAAGAAGTTCAGTGGTAAGGTGAGGAAAGCACTAAACTATTTATTGCATTTCTGCAAAAAGAAAAAAAAATGAGAATAAAACCTGTTTTATTGTATTGATCATGAATTGGTATTTCTGCGTGAATTCTTTTTGCTTGATTTGGGTTTATCGTTTTGCATAAATTTCTATTTTGTATTAATAATGATTGTTACTTATTGGTTTGATTGGTCGTATTCTCATGTTCTTGGTTTTAACTTGGTTTATGTTTACATGACATGATGTGATTCTTATTGCTACCCGGAGGATATTAAGGCCTCCAAAAAAATGCTCTGCTGTTCAGAGGCCACGCAGCCGCACATTAACTGCTGTACATGAAGCTATGCTAGAAGATATCGTCTTATCTGCTGAGATTGTCGGGAAGCGTATTAGATATAGAATTGATGGAACCAAGATAATGAAGGTACTGCTCATATAACAATTAATACTAATTCTACAATCAGGATGCTAAATGTCAAGAAAAATGTCCAAGTGAAGGGTGAAAGAATTGTATTTAGTCCTTCAAAATTATGATTGTTGTCACCGTTCATAGATATGATTGATTTTATGATGGCTGATGCTCATTCATTTTTTGCTACCTGTTTGGTGCAGGTCTATTTGGACCTAAAGGAACGGAACAACACAGAGTATAAGCTTGAGACCTTTTTGGCAGTTTACCGGAAGCTTGCTGGAAAAGATGTGTTTGAGTTCCCAGTCACCGAGGCATAGATAGATCCTCTTTGAAGTTTTCAATGCCTTTTCCTTGTCTGTTTTGCCCCCGAAAACTGATTTTTGTAGTGGAGCACCTTAAAATTTGAGATTTATGAGTATCTGTGTGTGTAACTTATTCAGTGTTCACGCATCTTTGGTGTGGAATACAATATTGCTTGTTATTACCGTGCCAGGCTTTTTACGACTAATATTGGTGTGCACTTGTGTGCTTTCACACAGCATTTTCTTATTTGCAACATCACTTTTATGGAATCCTTTTCTCTTAGCTATGTTGATGTTCAACTGGCTGCTTAAGGTGGATATGTGGGTTGAAGATTGTTTGGCAGGTTGGGCCGTTGCGGTAGAGTCGTGTTTTGAGACAAAGATTTCTGAACGAGTTTCCATGAGAGATTCTTTAGGGGAGAAGAAGAAAAAAGACCCCCCCCCCCTTTAGGTGAGTTCAAGTTTGGTTATTTACCGTCTTTTGGGTGTCGTGTGACGGAATGCGAAAACAGGGGATCGGTATGGGATTGGTACCTTCTGATTGACTTTGTTAGGGTCGTAATAGATCTATCTAATCAGTCTATTAGTTGGAGGTGTATTTAAGCTTTGCTTGTTGATTTCAGAGGTATGTTGTATCGGAACGGAAAGTATAATAATTGCATGGGAAGTGACACACTTCATCATAAAAGAGGTCAAATTAAGCTCTTGGATGCCGATGTGACATAAGTTCTTTCACTTTGCTGTTCCTGGTTCTCGGTGTTTGGTCCGTTAAAGACGGCACCAAATGGGGTCCTCTAGAGATGTGTAAGCAAGTATGAATCGATCACCCGTGGGGAAGGAATTTCTTGTCTTGTTATCGGCTTCCATATTGCTCACATGGCCAACTTCATAAACATTAGGTAACTTGTCGGGCAAATAAATACAATAACCTAAGGTCCTGCTCTATTGGGGTCCCATTTTTAGTTTGAAGATCTTCATTGACCCTTTGAACATATGGATTGAAAAAGAGATGAATCTCCCCATCTTCCATCTGCCCTGGTAAAGTAGGGTCAAGAGTATATTGGACCTCATATCCGGGAGGACCACTTCGGCTAGGTTTTGCTCCGTGGTTGGTATCTGGCTCGGTCTTGTTTCGTTTGCAGTTAGGATTATGATACATGACACGACACTGCCCAAATGAAAGCAACTTACTAGAGGAAAACTATTCCCTTATGTTTCTCTTCATTTGAAAAATTAAATGTGTTAGAAGTTTTTATTTCGAATTTCAGTTTGATTCGATCTTAAAAGTTTATGGTGTGATCCGTTTGATGAAGAAATAAATTAATTTGGTTTGGTTTGGCACAACTATACTTGTATAAATTTTTGGGTAAATTTCGCGTTTAGTATCTAAACAAAAAAACAAACGTTTAGTGTTTTGTTTCATTTTTGTATCCCGCCATTAAAAAAACTTAACGAACGAGCTTGCTAGTCGTCGCGTCTACAGTTGTCGGTCGTCGCATCTGTCGACCGATGAAGCTCAAACTTTCTAGTCTACACCCTTTCGACCCCCTGAATATTATTTCGGACTCTGTTTCACCAAAAATACCTCAATCTTCTCAAATTGAGAATGGACTCTTCAACTTCTTCATCCTTTGATCTTTGTCGTCAACCGTATAATGGGTCTGAAACATGACTATGCTGGTTGAGTTGTCATTCTCTCATGGTCCTTGTTTGGATTGGTCTTCCATCCACCGAAACTATGCCCCGTTAGCCCGCCTATTAAGTTTTTAACGACGAGATACTAAAATGAAACAAAAATCTAAACATTAGGTATGATTTTGAAGAAAAAAACTGAAATTTAGGTACTAAACAGACTAAAACTGATAATTTATGTACTAAACACATAGTTTACCCTTTTTTTAATTAAAAGTGGAAATCCCTATCGAATAACTCTTTGTAATTCAATAATCTTATAAATGGATACTATAAATTAGGGTTATCGATTTGAGTTTTAGAAGCTGAAAAAAACCTTGTAGCGATAAACCTGTTTTAATTTCTACATTACAGTAAGTTTCTCTCTTCTAAAAGATTACTTAAATCTATATGTGTTCTTGTCTTTAGTATCATACTATTGTAAGTTATACATGTTAAGGATCAAGTAGAAAATTATTTGACCATTTCTTACGACTTCAATGGAGTCAATGTGTATTATATATATCATAACATCATTTTCTAGAGCACAAAGCATGCTTGATAACCTCAAACACTGTATATTTTATTTTGGGATTTAGGGAGGAGGAAGTGTTCAAAATAGAGTATGCCATGAAAAATAATCCAACTTCAATGATTTGCGGCAAATAGCATCTGATGTCACTGTAATTTTTTAAAAAAATCATTGTGACTCTCGTATTATTTTTTCTCTCGATGTGACTCTCATACTCAGAAAATAAATTCAATATAGTCATTTGAGAACTGCTAACGTGTCAATTCACAATTGTTGATTACGTGGCTGATAACATGACAGATGAGTTAAATTGATAACTCAAATATGACATATGAACTACCATGTCAATACCATGGACCACCACTTCAGTACCGTAAACTGCCACCTTAACATCGTAAAAGTCAACAATAAAAAAATGATAGTAAAAGAATTACATTGATTTGTTTTCTGAGTTAAAATGACACATTGAGAGAAAAATAATACTTGACTAGCGTTGATTTTTCTTCTCTTTTTACCATGATTTATTTAATCCAACAATGGTGTAGGATAGAAGGTGGATAGCATGTCCTAAAAAACATAGTTCGAAACCAAGCATCTCATCAATTTTTTTTTCTTCTAACAAATGCCCAAATATACCCTACATTAATTATTGCAACGAAGAGGGACGCTTTTAAATACTTTAGTACAAGTTTGGTTGTATTCGGACAATCTAGTTATTGCACAAGCTTTATTCAAATCAGCAGTGTTCCTTAACCACAAGTGAGTTGAAATTTTATTGATTCAGTCCTTAAAGTTGTATCCCCTAGACCCCGGCTTAGACGTCACGATCGAATCTCAGAGATCACGACATCGTTAGATTAAACATAAATCAAGAAGAACTCATATATTGCCATCCATCGTTGTTAAATCGTCAAAAGAATTCAAGGGTTCTTAGTACTTAAAAACATACCACGAGTTCTAAATTTGAAAACAATAAGAAAATCCTTATCCCAAGTTCCATAAAAAGGAAATACACAATACATATAATCGACAAAAAAAATTAATAAAAATCTCGAAAAAGAAAATATTCATACGATGTCTATAAGAGAATAACAATAAACAATCCTCCAAGTACTGATCGTAAATCCTAAAAGTCTGAGTAATCTGAAAAGACAAAAACTAGAAAATGAGCTACGAAGCTCAATGTGCCCTCTAAAGTAAAGTAGATATCCAAGCATATGCAAAACAATGCAATTAAAGTATAACATTAAATACGAATTTAATGAACAAAAAGCAACACCAATGGCACCCTACTTTACCTTTTTCTACAAATAAACAAAACGGGGATATAATCCCATGAAAATGTTAGAAAGGGAAACTAATCTCATGCAGATGTCAGAACGGAGAATTAATCCAATTCAGATCATAAATATATCAATAAGCAGATAAAAAGTGATGCAACATAATTCATAAATATTAATGATACAGGGAAGTGCAACTAAATTACAAACATACTTTAAGCATAAGTATTAACATAGCAGTCTAACATATACGAGTATCAATTAGTTAAAGAAGACACACTTAAAGAAAATAACCGATGTCAACTAAGCCTTACACTTCCCACGATCAGTAGTATTAGTTCCTGCTGATCAAGAACCTAAAACATTACTCTACCATAAATACGGATGCCAACCACTAAATAGAATATGCCATAAAATAACAATTGAATACTTACACATATCTCGAGACGAGTGACTAGAAACAAACTGAGGACGGTAGGACTGATCATGATCAACTGGAGAGCGCTCCGGAGATGCGAGGGTACCTTTAGAAAATTAAACCCAAAAGTGAATTCAAAACCCCACACTTTACTTAAAGATAAGTAAAACATGGATTTTGGGTCAGAATTTGGCCAAACGGACTCATGACGTTAAAAAAAACATAAAGATAGCGGTTTTCATAAAATTTAATGGGTCAAAGTCAACGGTCGAGTCAACGGTCGAGTCAACGGGTTGACCGGTTCAACCGATTCAATCCAATAGCAATCCGGTTTAGTTGGTTTTGAATTTAAAACCGTCTGAACAGTCCCACACGCACACAGCGGCGCATGATGGTACGTGTGACGCCGTCCAACAATGGTCACCAAAATTTCCAGAACATTAATTCAAAGCATGGGGAACAACTTACAGAGTTCGGCTTGCATCGGGGAGCGACGAGATTGAATTTCTTTGAAAACCCGAAACAAAGTCCCTCACCTGACGCTAACAATAACGGAAAATGACGAAAAAGGATACCGAGCGAACAACGATGACGAGACGGATACAAAGACACCGACAGTGAGAGTCACAACGATCAAAACGGATACCAAACGGAGGGAAACATAATAACATTAAGAGTGCGTTTGGTTCACGGAATGTAAGATTACCGGTGGGAATAAAAGATTACCAGGGAATAGGATTACTGGGAATGTTGTATTTTGTGTTTGGTTGGTTTAGCAGGAATGTAAGATTACCGTGTTTGGTTAAAGGAATAAAAGATTATTGTAATGTATATTTGACCAAATTGTCCTTATTATATATTTATTTTTTAACAAGTTTGAAAATATTTATATATTTTCTTTAAAAAATTTAAATTCATAAAAATTATATAATTTTTTTTACAAAATTGAAAATATAAAAAGGTGTAATGAAAGGGTAAAATTTTATTTTAACCCCTGAACTTAATATAAAATTTTAATTATAGACTTTTTTTTGTAAATCTAAAATAGTTTAAGAATAAATTTATAATTTAACCTTCGTAGAATTTTTATTATTCAATGACAGAATAAGGATATTTTTGAAAGAAAAAAAATTAAGGGTATTTTAGTCCAAAACGTTGGTAATCCAATAATACCTAAGGAAAGGGAGGTAATGACATTC